GGGGCCTCCTTGGGAGAGCCCCTGGGGACCCATAGGATGGTTCAAGCAGGGGAGTCACAGGTTACTTTTTAGAAAGGCCATTCCAGAAGCCAATGTAGAGGATGATAAGAGGGGCCAGGGACTGAGTGTAGGGGGGTTTCAACAGGCTGGGTGAGAGGTGACAAGTGTGATCTTGACCTCAGTGGAGGCTCAGTGTTGGGGGAACACCCTGAGCAGGGAGAGTGTGCAGGTCACTTCTTGTCAGTGTGCTGTGTGACCAGGCTGGGCTGGAGCCTGGAGGGGGCTCCCCAGGCCTGGCAAGGGAAGGGCCCAGCGTGAGTCCTGGGTGTCAGATACTCCTGTCCCTGCTCCAGTGGGGTCGCCCAGACACTTTCCAGCATATTAGGAGTATAATTCCCAGTCGTTCTTCCCCAAGGCCCAGACTGTCTGAGTCGCTCCCTCAGCGCTCCCCTCCCATGCAGGAAGACTGTCCTGCCTCAGAAGTGTGTTGAAAGCGCTTCGTTCTTGGCTGCACGTTTTGCTTCTCTTGCTGTTGGGGAGCTTGCTGTTTGTTGGGAGGGGACTGGGAAGAGGAGTTATAAAGTCGTTCAGTCGAAACCATTAGTGGGACTTGGAAATACTTTCTTGGAGGAGATGATGTGGTTCCAGGGCTGTGTGAGTTTGGGACACGCAGGACCAGTGGGACCCAGAGGGTGGGGAGGGTGACAAAGGCCCTGCTCCCCAAGTCCCATCCCTCTCTGTGTAGCCGTCCTGCTTGCAGGAATTTCTGGCAACCTTGCCCTTGAAGCAAGCTCCAGCTGAGGCGAGGCTGTCGGGCCCAGGGGCCCTGCAAAGCTCCAGGCCAAGTGGGGTCTCATTTAGGCGGCGGCTGAGCCAGCTGCAGGTTTGGTTAATCACCCTCGTCCTGGGAGCCTGCTAATGAGGAAGCCGAGGCTCGCAGCCCACTCCTGCCCTCGCTGGAGGCTTCCAGGGAAGACGGAGAGGCCAGGGCTGGGCAGCGAGGCCAGCCATCTGCTACAGGGGCCCTGCACTTACCTTGTCAAGCAACGGGCTCATTCTTGCCCGGGTTGGTGGCCTCACCAGCCCCTGGCCTCCTTGGATGCCTGGCTCAGGCTTCACTATAGAAGAGACAAAGCCTGAGAGAAGCACTGGGTGGTCCCCCAGCCTCGGGAAGCTTCTCTGCCTCCCTCCTCCCCACTCCTCTGCCTCAATGACTCCCCACTTCAAGAAGTACTGTCCCCACTGCCTGAGCCATCCCGGGAAGCCTGTGCTCTAGAAAGTTCCCCCACCAATAGGGGGAAGGGGCGAGGACATGGGAAGACCCCTCACCAGAACAGGAGAGTCAGAAAGATGAGATCTAAACATGGGGCAAGTGACTTTATCCTTCTGAGCCTCAGTTTCCTTATCTGCTACAGGGTCCTCTTGCGCAGAGGTGTGAAATCTCAATGATTTAATGTGCGAGAAGCTCTAGGCAAACCGTAAAGCACTGTGTGCCCAGGTACAACCTTCACGGTTTGCACAACTAAGCCCACATTCGGGGCTGGCTTTGAGGAACCCCCAGAGCTTGGCTCCAACCTCCTTTTCTGACGTTTCTCCTCTGCTTATCCATGTGAGTCCCCTGCCCTGGCATTTCAGCGATGCTGCTCCTGGCTTCATCCCGTCTTTCCGCTCCTGCTTCCCCCGCAACCCCAGCTCCGATGCCCTGGCCCCACTCCCCTACCCTGCCTTCTTGCCTATGCCAATCCTGCCCAGGCTAGAAGTCATGTTTTCTTTCTGGTAATGAAAGTCCTGGATGGTGTCAACATCTCAAACCATCTAAGTGAGCAGCCACTGCGGCTCGGGGGTGCTGAGTCAGACCCGGCCCCTCCTCAGCAGGACCCCTCCCCTCCGCCGGCGTCCATCTGTCCATCCGGCACACGGTAGGTGCTCAAGAAATGCTAGAGGCATTTGTGTTGCAGTGAGGGCTTGCGACCAGTGCTGTGAAGGGCGCTGAGTTTGGGTTTACTGTTCTGAATTCCGAACAGTTTTATTTTCAAGTTTGTGTTTTGTAAGTGAAACCTGGTGGGATAAGGGACATGCATAGCAGCTGGGAGCTTGGCTCCCATGTGGTCCTGCCTTCCCCGTCTTGCAGCCTCCCAGAATGGGCTCTTGGCTCCTGCTCTCCTGCCCTCTGTCTCCTCAGACCCACCCAGCATCCTCCTCCCTTCCCCTGCCCATAGACAGCTGCAGTCCTCCCTCCACCCAGGGGCCCTGTTGTGGGCAGGGTGGCGGTCAGGTGCTCATCCCTTACTGTGTCTTGGGGCGGAGCAGCCGTCCCTGCCCTGGGCTGGCAGTGTCACAGCACATTCCAAGAGTGACACGGCAGGAACAAACCTCTCACCCATCCCATCCAGGAGCCTAGTGCATGTCAGCACAGAGGTTTCAATACTCTTGTCTATCTTGGGTTGGGGCAGCAGGCCTGTGGGAAGGGTAGATGCAGGCTGAGCTCTTCAGCTCCCGGTCATGGCCAGTGTGTGGGTCCAGTGACCTGCAGGACAGGGAACCTTGGAGCTGGTGGGCCCGTGTGCAGTGTGCCAACTCGAGGAGCGAGGACCCTGGGCCTGTGAGGGTCTACGCTCACCCCACGAGCATCCCTGTGTACGAAGGAGTGCAATGTTAAGTAGCGAATAAAAACCAGCATGACAGGTGGAGAGAAGGTGTCCTCAGGAAAATGGAAAAACTCTGTATTTTAGTTCCTTTAACAGCACTTTTTTGTTGCTTTTTGAGCAAGGGCCTCTGCATTTCCGTTTTGCACTGGGCTCTAAATATGTAGCTGGTTTTGGGTGTAGCAGAACAAACCGGAGACTTGCGTTTGGAAGAGTCTGTAAGTCCCTCCATCTCTCCAAGCCTCCATTTTCTTATCTGGAAATACGCCTCCTGCCCAGGGTCACACCTTCCACACCCCTGCCTCTCCTTGGACTTGGCCTGCTGCGGCCATAGTCTTGCCAGCTGCTTGGAACCCTGCCCTTTCCTCCTCCTGTCGAAGCTGAAATCACTGCTGTGTGTGGTGGGAATGGAGCTCTCTCTCATCCTCCTCTCGCCCCTCCTGCCTCTCACCACGGGGAGCGTGTGCTGCTCTGTTCACAGGTGCTCTCGCCCCTTGTCACTTTGACCTGCCCTTGTCTGCGTCCCCACAGTCCTGCATGGCGCTTGGCACAGAGAAGGTGCTTTTTGAGCATGTGATTTACTTTCCATGCTAGGCCCCCATTCTGCTGGGTGGCAGAAGCTGACTTTCCCTGGGTGCACCTAAGTTTCGTGGGCCTCAGGTGGTGCCCAGACATGATGCCATCTTTGGCCCCTGTCCCGTGCGTCTGACACTGGGTCAGTCCTTGTTCCGGTCCGCATCTGTGCTGCTCTTGTGTCCTGGAAACAGCCCGCGGGCCCCTCATCGCGTCTGGCGGGGGACTGCTCTGTGAGGCACCCAGGCCTCTGTTGCTCTGTGGGCTGCTCTTGGGCACAGGCTCTGGAGTGACCCGGGGCCTGGGGAGCACAGCGAGCATCAACCACTGACTCTGTCCTTCTGGCTGCAGCTGGGGTCTTGATGGAGACTAAAGAGACAAGGTCTTGAGCAACTGTTAGAAATAAATAAGCAAATAAAACAATAGGAAGAGCAGTCCTCACATACTGAACACTTGTTGGGTGCCGGGCTGTGCTCTAAGGGCTTATGCACATAAATCACTTATATTCACAGTGACCCTCTGAGTGGTTAGAACGCAGGCTTGTGACACTGAGGTCAAGGGTTCGGTTCCCCGTACCAGCCAGCTGCCAAAAAATTAAAAAAAAAAAAAAATGACCCTCTGAGGTAGGTACCAGTACGATCCCCATCTTGTGGATTGGAAGACTGTGATGTGTAGAGGTTATGAACTTGCCCAAGTGTACACAGTTAGTGAGGGAAGGAATTAGCCTTTGAATCCGGGTGTCTAGCTGTAATGCAGTATTACCTAAAGGCTTTCAGTACTTGGAGGATCCTTGGAGAGCATTGGATCTACACTGTCTTGTAGGAATGAGATCCAGAGAGGGAGAGTGATGAGCCTCAGGTCACACAGCAGCCTAGAATGGCGTCTCAGCCTCCAGACTTCAACTGTACGCTCTCCCACTCTTTGTTCCTGCCTGCCTTTGAGAGAGCCCAAGGGAGGAGGGAGACAGGCTAGGGTTCAGGTGACATGAACCTTGAAGGCAGCCCCAGCAGACAGAGGGCTGTGGAAACAGGGTGACAGATTCCAACGGCTGGCATCTGGGAAGGTTCCACACGGGAGGCAGGCACGTGGTCAGGAAAGGAGTTGCCCGGCGGACCCTGGGTTGTTGGCTGGGGAAATGGAAGAGTTTCCTAGACTGGAGCTGCTCTTGAGTTCTGCAGGGGAGAAGACCAGGTAGCTTCGTGTGGGGATGTGTTCCTGGGCTCCATGGGAGGCCTGGAGGTGGCTTCCCTGTGCCTGGGAGCCCTTCCTCAGAGAACTGGGGTCCTTAGAGAGCTGCAGGCCATCTTTGGGGGGAACTCAAACTTGCTCAGGAAGCTTTGGTTATGGTGAATGTGAGGTATTTTGGAAGCATCCAAAGGAGATGTCCAGGAGGCAGTGGAATATGTGGATCGAGAGGGCAGGAGAGAGGTCTGGACAGGAGATAGGGATTTAGCAGTTGTTGCGTGGCCAGGGTCATCGCTGACTTGCAGAGGAGAGCGTGAGTCTATAGAGAAGGGCCACACCCTGTAAGCAGCTGCTTTATGAAGGAGGGAGAGGAAAAGGCCAGAGGAGCAGCTGGGGAGCCGCAGTGCCTTCCCCAGCCGCGGCGTCTCTCACGGCTCCCGCTTTGTCTGTGGTGGGGCAGGGGGTATGTGATGGGACATTCTGCTGCCCACCCCCAACTCTGGAGTGGGGACAGCTGAAGAGAAGGGGCAGAGGCAGCCATGAGTGGCCTCCCTTGGTCAACAGGGGTCTGCTCATGTTTCTTCTCTCTCTCTGCAGGAGAAGGGACCACGCCGTGTACATCCAGCATCCTCCAGGAGAAGCAGCGTGAGTTAAGCCTGACCCCTGTGGAGCCTTTTCTTCCCTTTGGATGGGTCCAAGCACCTTGGGCTCAGAAGGGTGGTGGGATCATCACCAGCTTGTCTGCAGACAGGACCAGATGGCCTGTGGCCGCTCAGCCTGAACTTGGGCCACTCTCTGCCCAGTGAGATGAGCCCCTCGGGTTTTTGAGTTCTTCACACTGGGCAGCTTGAGCATCAGAGCCGGAGTGAGGGGTGTGGGGCTGGGGGGCTGGGAGGGTGGGCCTAGCAGAGCAGAGGGACCATGGAAATTCCAGTGCGTGTCCTTTGCATGTGGACAGAGAGAGGAGCAAGCCCTCCTGTGCCTTTGTGACCGTCTCCTTTGGGTGGCACAATTTCCAGGAGCCATAGAGGGTGCCGTGGTGACCAAGGTCAAAGGCATCTCATTCAAGGCTGTGCCAGGGGTTATAATCCTTAAAACTCCCTCAAAAGAGGCCATCTCTGCAGAGTCTGGGGCCCTGTGGTTGAGCTCTGGAGCTTTGTAAGTCCTAGTCATCCTGTGTGTTGTACAGGCTACCCCCGGTCTCCTTCTGCCTGTGTTTTCTCAGAGAGATGAGCACAGGATTGGACTGAGGAAAGACCTGGTAGAGATGTGTCAATCTGCTGACATGGTAACTTCAGGACATCTTCCCTGGATGTTCTAGGTGGAGTTGGTGGGCAGCCTCTGAGCCAAATGTGTTTGCTCTTGGCAGTACTGAGTTTCACATGAGGCCGAGGTCAGGGAGTGGAGTCTAGGTGTGTGTTTAGGGGTAGGGGCCGTGCTCAAAACCTCCCTTATTTCTCTGTCCTGCTATTTTGATCTTCAGTTGCAGCTTTGGGGTCTCAGCCCACTCTGCCCACCACCTCCCCAGGCTCAAGCTTGAGGCCTTCCTGCAAGCGCTTCTGTCTCTGAGCTGGGGTGAGGGGTACCTGCACCACTGGCCCTCCCCCAGTCCAGGTCCAGCCCTAAGTGGGTCACAGGCCTCCAGAGCCCTGGTAGAGTGTAAGGAGCTCCACTCAGCACAGGGGAACAGTGTTAACTATTCCCATAGGAACGTTTTATGAAGGTGACCGAATGATGACGTGGGGAGGCAAATGCCATTGAAAAGAAAGTTTTAGGACAAATTTCCAAGAGAAGGGGTGGACCACAGCACGCAGGGCCACAGGGGAAGCACCAGGGCTGGGCTGGAGGTGAAGGGAGAGGGGACAGTACAGCCCAGTCTTTTACCACGTTTCCCCATGAGAAGTGCAGGGCAGGGGACCCGGCTTAGGATCGGCTGGTTTGAATAATGTCTGAGGGCTCTTGGCTACAGGGGTGGTGTCCAGTTGTCTGGTACCTGGGCCTGGTGTGATTCAGGGCAGGGGAAATACTGGCTGGTGAGTGAGAATGGAGAAAGGAGGTGATTGGGGGTGAGGAGTTGGGCGTGGCTGGTTTGCATGGGAAAGGCGAGCTCACAGGAGAGTTGTTTATTATTTCTAGGAATTAGCCAGCCCTGGAGGGGCAGTCTCTCCCTGGCCAGCAAGGCCCCCAAGATGTCAAAACATTATAAAATAAAAAATATGATTAATACGGGATGTCAACAGATTCCTCAGGAATGTGGGAGGGGAAAAGAGTCCAACTCATCCCTTCTGGGCCTCTGGGAAAAGGAAGCCACAGGAGCAGCCTCTAAGGGACAAACACAACCCCTGACGTGGGGTTTGTCTCCGCAATGCTAAACCACAGCTCCGTTTTGCACAGATACAACTGAATGGACGAGAGGTTTAGTGCCTTCTGGACCTGGCTGAAAAAAATGTATGTTTAAATAGAGGCAAAGTCTTTTTATTTTTCGTGGTTATAGGTTTTAGTCAGAACTATAGTACCGGAGGCTGTCATCAAATTCTCCTCCTTAAGGACATTCTTATATAGCAAAGAATAATATCAGATGCGCAGAAAGATTTTGGAGCTGAAACAATCCCTTGTAGGTCGTCTAGGTCAGTGATTCCCAAGTATAAACCCAACATTTTCCACAGTGGGAAAAACAGCCCCATGATGTGATTTTCCATCACGTTGAATGTATTCAATCGAGAGGCCTGCTTTTCACGTAATCCCACAGTTATGTTCTGCCTACAGTTTTTGGCATTAAAATACTTCTTTTATGAAATGATGATGATAATTGATGGTAATGTGTTTGTTTATTTTTAATCGAAACTTGGCAAAGTAAGTCTGTGACCTGAATAAAAAAAGAGTAATAGCAGTGCCTTCTGTGTAAGATGTGCTTTTCCACTAAGAGTACTCCTCTGTGCATATTACCCTATTTAATATTTCCACTGGGTTTTTGATAACTCATTAAAAATGAGTTGTTGGGTGGTACGAATGGCCCTGGACCAGGAGTCAGAAAATCCTGGGACTGGTGCTGGATGTATGACACCATATACATAACATCTGGGATTTAGAGGGGATAAGGCCTGGGTGTGAAACTCAGTTCTTCCGTTCAGTTGCTGTGATGCTTTGGGCAAGTTACTTAACATCTCTGAGCCTCAGTTTGTTTGGCTGTGGAAAGATGACCACACTGTCTACTTTCTAGTGTTACTGAGGGGATCAAAGAGACTATGCATGAGAAGCCAAGATCTGTACCTGGCGCAGAGGAAGCTGCTCGTAATTCTCACTTATTTTTGGCTTTGATCTCTTGGCCACTGGAGCACCTGGTGCAGATGTGAGTGGTGATCTCATCATCTCGTGGAGCTCGGTCTTTTTGGTGCTCTGCTGGTCCTGTGGCTGCCTTCATTGCCATTGTCAGTGGTGTCACATCTGAGTTCCCAGAGATTCTTCCTGCATTGGCCAGAGAGCTCTGGGCCCCTTGGGTGGCCAGTGTGGGGAAGGAGGCCTGCATGGCCTCTCAGCTCGTGTGCAAGTGCGAGGTTGCAAGGACTTATCTGCAGTGGCCTTGGGGCAGGTGGCATGTGTGTCCTGGAATCCTCCCTCCTCTGGCAGCTTGACAGCCTGCTCTTCATCCTGCAGTTGGACAGACGGCCTGGCAGCCTGCCACCACTGGCTTGTGCTTGTTATTAGGAACCAGCCTGGAGGAAGCCTGGGGAGCCACTGTGTGGGGGGACAGGGGTGGGGCAGAGAGAGAGAGAGGGCTGGGGCTGGGAGCTGTGCAGTCTCAGCTCCTGCCTGTGGCCCAGTCTCCTGTCCTGTGTGTACATGGGGTCCCTTCTGGATCTGACGCACTAGGGGTCTCTGATTTTCTGTTTCAGTCTCTTTGTCTCTGGGCTTCCTTGCCAGTGACTCTGGGCCTGCACTCCTCGTTAGCAGGCGAGCATTTTCAGAGTGCTTCCTGCCCAGTGTCAGGACCCAGGGAACTTACCATCTTCCTATCCAACCTCTCTCCTTCTCTTCTTCCATGCATGGTACTGTTCTCCACAAACCCAAGCCAGAAACCTGGGGTCTTCCTAGACTTCTCCCTCTCCGTCACCATCCGGAAACAAATCAGGTCCCTCACAGTGTGACTGCACTGCAGTGTGACTCTCAGACTCATCACTCCCCTCTGCCTCAACCCTTCTCCAGCCATGGCCACTGTCTCCTCTCTCCTGGACCACTGCACCCTCCTGTGCACGGGCCTCCCTGCCTCCAGTGGCGCTGACTAGTCCTCCCTCTACAGAGTCACAGAGGCCTGTGCAGGAGGCAGCTGGTCCCCATAGCCCTGCTTCCCCTCCCATGGCTCTTTTCCAGCAAAAGGTGGCACTTGCCTCCATATGACCTCCCTGCTCACTGTTCCCTTTTCCATTAGCTGTCCCCCTGCCCTGCCATGCTGACTCTGAGAGGAGCATGGACACTCTCAGCATGGTTTTCTCATGGTCTAACTGGGAAGCCCGAGCATGGCATCCATCCCCATGCAGGAAACAGAGGCAGCCTCCTCCACCGCAGACAGCGGGAAGCGCTCGGGATTCTCGGGACCCAGCACTCTGTTCATCACTGCCTGGATCACATGTGCAGAATCCAGGGAGCTGGACGTACCCCTTCCTGCTGTGACCTCCCTCATCATAACAGGGGCTGAGGGTACAGCTGTCGGCTTCATGGGGCAGTGACTGCTTCTTCTGATCACATCCTTCTAGGCCCATCTTGTGGGAAGAGGTGTGACCCCCGCACACACTCCCCCACACCCAGGGGCCCACGGCTGCCTCACCCTCCCCATCCCTCTGTCTTCCAGCGTCAGCAGCTCCACAGGGTGTAGGGAGCTGTTCAGGCTGTTCTCTGTGATCCCTCATGAAACCTGGGGGCTGGGGAAGGCTACAGTTATCACAGCCATGCCACAGTGAGAAAAGGAAGACTCCTGAGGAGTAAACGACCTTCTGAGGAAGGCGCTCAAATCCAGCCACCTCTACTCCTCCGTCTCCAGAGCTCTGTCTCATGTCTGGGCCGAGCTCCCTCTTTCCTGCAGTTTCTCCTTCCCATGGTCACCCCAGGTACCTGGGGAGGGGCACCGCTGTCCCTTGTGTCACACAGGTACTCTCTCAAGAGCCAGCTCCACCAACTCCCCAAAACCTCAGGGTCCAGCATGCACACAGGACAGGAAAGTGCCAGGCGGAGAAGTTTCCTCTGCCTCATCTCCACCCGGGAGAGGGCAGGTTCCGTGACAGGGAGACTGAACTACTGTGGCCCTCGGAGCTGGACCCAGACCGTGTGGAATACAACAGCAACCACACACATGCCCAGACTAATGCTGGCTGTCACATGGCTTTCTCAGGGCCAGCACCTGGCTTCAGCTGCAGGGGTGGGGGCAGCAGGTGGCGTCCGGTGTATGAGGAGGGTCCCCCCACAGCCATGTCCATTTATTAGGGAGGGGACCTCAGTGAGACTCTGAACTTCCTCTCCTCCCCAGACCAAGGCCTGACAATGGTCCAGACTGAGTCCCAATCCTGGTCCCAAACTGACCCTTTATCTCATCCTTGACTGAGCCACTGTCATAGCCACCAGCCGAGCCCCAATTTGGCTGCGTTCTGACTCCA